GATCGGGCTGCACGCCGCAGCGAATGCTACGATGATATTGCGCTTGGGCTGTAGGAGCCCCTCCGGAGTCTGAACCCCCACAGTGAGCGCGGGTACCCAAATGGATCGGGCTGCGCGCCGCAGCGGTCATGTGCATTGCATTGCATTCATGCATTTATACCTATTTGTCTTACTTGTCCTGGTATTGTTGTTGTTCCACCGTTTTATGTGCTGAATCGCTGATTATAGCATTATATTGTAATATTTTGGAATTTCTTACTTTCAGCCATTATATATGTTTATTACTCACTGAGTTGGAAGTACTCACTTTACTCCCTGCACCATGTGTGCAGATTCAGGTGCTCCGGAGACTTAGTGGAGCTGTTTGCTGTCTTCTTGGATTTTATCTTCAGGAGTTGTTGAGGTAGCTGCCTGACGTCCGCAGGACCCGACTCCTCCCCTTTATTTCATTTATCTTTCCATATCCTAGACTTCTTTATTACTATGGATATATTACTCTGTTACATCTAGAGGCTCTAGACTCGTGACTCCAGATCTATTGGGGAATGTTTGGATATTCGTTATTATTTTCCGTACTATTTTATTTGGATTCGGATTGGAACCTTGATATTTGCTATTTTAATCGTATTATTTGTTAACGGATTGCGTTTTTGGGTTGAGAGTATTTAATTGGTCGGGCTTGCCTAGCATTAGTGTTGGGCGCCATCACGACCGGGATTGGGGTCGTGACATATCTATTTATTATTTTCGAATTAACGAGAGGCTGGAGGTCTGGATACATACCCTGGAGTCTAACGGTTTCAAGTTGAGCAGGACCAAGAAAGAATACTTGGAGCGTAAGTTCAGCGGTGTAACCCAGGAGGTGGACGGGATGTGGAACTCGATACGCAAGTCATTTCCAGGAGAGAGAGTTTCAAGTATCTGGGATCTATAATTCATAAGGATGGGGAGATAGATGAGGATGTCACACACCGTATCGGAGCAGGGTGGATGAAGTGGAGGCTCGCTTCCGGTGTCTTGTGTGATAAGAATGTGCCGTTGAGACTTAAGGGTAAGTTCTACAAGGTAGTGGTTAGACCGACTATGTTATATGCGACAGAATGTTGGCCAGTCAAAAACTCCCATGTCCAGCAGATGAAGGTAGCAGAAATGAGGATGTTGAGATGGATGTGTGGGCATAGTAGGTTGGATAGAATTAGGAATGAAGTTATTCGAGATAAGGTGGGAATGGCCCCTGTGGAGGCAAGATGTGTGAGGCAAGGTTGAGATGGTTCGAGCATGTTAAGAGGAGAAGCGCAGGTGCCCCTGTCAGGAGATGTGAGAGGTTGGCCTTAGGAGGTGAGAGGAGGGGTAGAGGTAGGCCAAAGAAGTCTTAGGGAGAGGTGATCAGACGGGACATGGCGCAACTTGAGCTAACCGAGGACATGACTCTAGATAGAAGGGTGTGGAGGTTGATGATTAGGGTAAAAGGTTAGTAGGTAGTCGTGCGTCTCCCATTGTCTTCTCTAGCTCGATAGTATTAGCACTAGTACGATACCCTTTTTTCCTTAGTTTGCTATATTCGCATGTCTGGTTTCGTTGTTACTTGCCATTGGTATTTCCGTAGTTTGCTAGCAGTTCTTCATTCATATTCTCGTCTGCTGCCTTGGGATTAGTTTTCTAAATATGTTATCTTGCTACTACTTGTTATCAGTACCCCTTTCATATTACCTGTTGCTATCTTCGATTTAGTTTTCTAATTATTGTCTTGCTATTACTTGCTACCAGGGCTTCTCTCACCTTCTTTAGTCGAGGGTCTATCGGAAATAGTCTCTCTGCCCTTCCAGGGTAGGGGTAAGGCTGCGTACATCCTACCCTCCCCAGACCCCACTTGTGGGACCACACTGGGTTGTTGTTGTTGTTGTAGTAAAAGCAAAGTCTATCCTATGCTATGTTATGTCCAGTGCTTATTTACATAACATCTTCCTCAACTTAAAAAATTCGAAGAATTAATCAAAATAGCCCCACATAATTTTTTAAATTAAAAATAGCCAGTAGATATATAATATATGTAAAATTCATGTATAATATGTGTATAATTTTTTATAATTAATGTGTATTGGTTAGAAAAAGTAACAGTGAATCTGACCGTCTAATCCCAAAGTCTCCTTTTCTTTTGAATTGCACTTGCATTAAAATAATTATAAATTACATCTTGTTTGTCTATAATCTGATTCCGTCTAAAGTCTTGCAAAAAATGGTAACTATGTATTAAAATTGGGAAAATGCATAAGTACCCCTTGATCTATACTCGGATTTCCAACTACACACTTTTTTTTTGCAGGAATCCTATTACCCCCCTAAACTTATTTTAAATGGAATTATTTGCACCCTTAACATAGACGTGGTAGAGTGTGTGTATTTCACTCTCCTTTGGGAGAGGGAGAAGCAAGAAAAACGATTTTCAGATTATTTTTTATTCTTTTTTACCATTTTTTCTTACTTTTTTTTCCTTTTCCTTTTTCTTTTACTTTTTTTTTTCGTTTCTTCTCTAATTCCGGCGGATATTCATTCACCAGCGAATTTGTCTAACCGTTTCTCTTCAATTTTTACTTTTCACACACAAATTAAACTCTCAAAAATATCTATTCATAAGCAAAGCAAAATACACTCAGATTTGGGAGAAAAATTCATCATCGGAAAACCTTCACACGCCGGAAAAAAATTAATGTATTAAAATTTTAACTGGAAAAAGTTTTCTCAGCTTATATTCGGTTTTATTTCTTTTGCTCTTCCTCCCACTCATAAATTACATTTTCAAGAAAAAGTTATATATATATATAAAACAAAACACACTTAGATTGGAATAAAAATTTGTCGCTGGAAAAAAAAATTCGCCGGAAAAAATGGTGTGTGAAATTCTGACGACCACCATTTTATGCCGCTGGTGACCAAAACAAAAAGAAAGAGAATGAAATAATCAAAAAAAAATGAGAATAATAAGAAATAAGAAAAAAGGATAAGAAAAAGAAGAAAGAATAAAAAAAGTACTAAAAATACATGTGGGGGCGCGTGTAGCTCACCACTTGCCAAGAGTTTGGTTGTCTAGTTTTAGGGTGCAAATAATTTCATTTAAAATAAGTTAAGGGGGATAATAGAATTCCCGCAAAAAAAAAAGTATGTAATTGGAAATCCGGCTATAAATTAGGGGGGTACTTATGCATTTTCCCTATTAAAATTAAAAATTCTAATACAATCTCTACATCATATATGGAAGACAAAATAAGAATGTCTTAAAATAAATTTAGTAATAACAGATAGTGTGGTCCTCTCAAGAAGCAGATTCCAAAGTCAATTTGTTGACTTTTTCCTTTGTATAACTTTAAATGCCCCATTAATAAAAATGTGAACGTACTACAATGTTTTTTTCCTTTTATTTTGTACTTTCTCTGTTCACTATAATTGATTTTTTTGATTGTTTTTACACATTAATAAATTCACCTTTTAATATTAATTAATAAAAAGATTGACCATATTAGTCTTAGTTTGTTCATTAGGCAACTTAGGAAAAAAGAAAATACGTTTTTTCGCTTCCAACAACTCCCGTTAAAATTCAGAATCTTTATTCAAATAATCAGCCGAATTTATTGTTTCATTTTTCTAGCCGATAAACATAAATTATACCTGATGACAAATAATTATACATATACTGTACATGAATTATACATATATATTATACATCTATTGGCTATTTTTAGTTTAAATGGTTACGTAGGCGGCTGTTTAGGTTAATTCTTCGGGCTTTTTTCAACTTTTAGTCCGCTCTTAGAAACTATTTACATTTGGTAACCGGAAAAGTGTAAAATTTATATTATTTTTGTATATAACATACGAAATGTATATATATATACAAAAACTATACATTTTTTCGGCTATTATTTTGAGAACGGCTATACAATACCATTTCCCAAAAATTAATATTCATAGAATGGAAATTAGCACTCAGAGATGCCCAGCATACAAATGCTCAATCCCACTTTATGAAATTCCAATTATCATTGTTTATTAAAAAAATTAACTAATCACAAATTTTATTCCCAAAAGTTTTGTTTTTTAAAATCATCCACTTGAAATATTGAACAATTTTTCACTGCTTACTAGAATGATACTACATGATGGGTGCAGCAGGTCTATTTTTACAACCAAATGGAATGTTGCAAAACCAAGAATAGATGGACCACTTCCTCTTTCTTCCTTCTTTCTCTATCAAGGACCACAACAAAAACACACTAATCTAATGCTTAAAATAACACTAATACTGAATTGAAAAGCTAACCAACCAAGTCAAAATTCAGCTAAAGATCACAAACCCTGTCATAAGTAACTATACTTAATCATATTTTCCATATACAATTCTGCACGCCTACAACCTAAAAAAGTTATGCCAATATATAACTGCTAGAAATGTTCTTTTTTCGCGAACATACACGTGTGCACACATGCACGGAGTACAACTTTTCTGCAGCAGAAGTCATATACTTCAAGTCACAAGATTTTCTAATTTCATTCGCATGGAATATTACAACAACGACGATCCTAGTATAGTACCACAAGTGGGGTCTAGGGAGAGTAGATAGCAGGCAGACCTTACCCCTACAGTGAACGTAGAGAGGCTGTTTCCAGTAGACCCTCGGCACGAGGAAAAATGAGGAAAGAGCAGTAGCAATAACCAATAACGAGAACAAGATAAAATGGAATACTAAACTCCAGAATGATGCTGATGCCACACATGTATGGCAGCAAAAGTGTTGAATTGAAAAGTAGACTAAGCCATCAAAAAGTCTGATATTGTTGCTACAAACAGTACATACAACTTTTTCTTTTTTAAACAACGGTGTTGTTCGGACCAGATTGCATGCATTTCGACCATATTACCAATCCTGTATGTACCTGCTACCTCCCACCAGCACAATACCGACGACTAGTATAATAACGAGATGAATTTGCATCAAAAGAACTGCTGATGTAAAAGTGAAGCTATTATCTGTCATGATAAAGGCAAGTCGCTATAACTCAAGGGGTTTTTACATTTCCACCTAACATAAAAGAGATGCTATATACAAATTACACACAAGAAATGTTATCCTTCTGATACCATTTTCTTCTTAAACAGCAGTACATGCTGCAAGATTCCTTGGAAATATAACACCGACTATTAAAATAAAAGAGCACTGTTTCGACGAAATGGATCTATTGAAACGAACAACTGATGTATGATAGGAAATAAATATAAAGCTATGGCTGACACTTACAAAAGATATACTGATATCAATCATTTATTAATCTGCCTTTGCCATTTGACTTGTTGGAAAGGCCACTTGTGAATTAGTTTAATCTCCTCCTTATCTTCGGAATCTTCATTTCAGATGTTGACCCTTCAGGCTGCAGTAAGAATGAAGAAAATCAAGACACCGTCATATATGAAAACAACTTATATGAGTATATATTACAGACAAAGAGTTCTTATTCCTAAAAGCTTTTGCTTTTTGCTTTTGAGTTTTCTCTCTTTTCAAGTAGGAGAAGTTGGGGGAGTGGGGGAAGACAGAGGCGGACCCAGGATTTGAAGGTCAGGGTGCACTTTTGGATTCAACCAAAATATGCTTTGTATATAGGGCGCCCACTACTAATATATCACTATTTTCTAAAACATATACATGTATACAAGGAAATTTTGCCAAACTTCATGGGTGCCGGTGACCCCTCTCGGTATAGCATAGGTCCGCCTCTGGAGAAGGGTTGAGAAAATGAAAAATCTTAATAACACAGTCACATCGGTAGCCTGCTACACTACTGTAGAGGATCAATTTTTTGTCTATTGAACTCAGAAACATTTGTTAGTGTATTAACATAGACATACAACCTGAACTACAAGTGTTTATTGGTTGTGGGCACTCCTTTGTCTCACGTTTACTTTTCCTATAACTTCAAAACTAGCAATGATGCCAAAACTTTCATTTGAAATGTAACATCTTGCTTAAGTTTCATTTAAACTACCATAAGTTCTTGGCTTAAAGCATTCTTGACAAAAAGTATGGATTTACATGTATTGACATTTTGAATTCCTGATAGAAACGTAAGAAGCGTTTAAATATCAAATGGACATGTTTACAGACCTCAAGTGGAAGCAAAAGAACTAAAGATATCATTTTCCTGCTTCACTTGGACAGAATTTTTCTGCTGTTCAACCCTTAGCAGGTGCGAAGACAACTGCACTAAATCCATGGTCGGCCCGCCTACTGGAGAAAGGCAATTCTTGGAATTCATAGAGTTTGCTCCTTGATCATGTCCGTCTCTCTGCATTTCAGGAACACTTATACTGGGAGATTTTGCAAGATTATGATGATCATCTTTAATGTAGGCATGATCATCTCCTTTAACCATCCACAGCGGAGTTGGTGAAATGCCGGTTGAATTGCGTAGAAGGTTTTGTGAGTGGGCTGACAGAAGAGAGAGAGCACAAGAGGAGTTCTGCCCTGCAGAAAATTCTTGAACAGATAATAATGTCGACCCAACCGGAACTTTGGATAGATCTTGTTTTCTCACTCCGTACTGATGTTGGATGCTTTCCGCAGGGGATTGCCCGCTTGTGACTGACATAGCCAATTGAGATATGCAGAATGGCTTACGTTCTAATTTAAGGTGCTGGTTATTGTTATTCACTTCATAATTCTCTTGATAAAAGAAACTACCAGGAAGTATTTCTGGGAAAAGAAATGGAACTCTCCTTTGTGTCATATCCAAGAATCTTGAACCTGCATTTCAATAAATTGGTAGAACAAACTGAGAATGCTAGAAGCTGAAAGAATGACTAGAAGCATTTTACCAAATAAAAAATTGAAAAACTTAACACAAAAACTACCTTTAACTCGATATGATCGAGTAAATAGGAGAAGTAGCAAGAATAAAGTTTCAAAAAAACACCCAAGATAAGAAAGTCGGGTTAAATAAAAAAAGTTCTATTACGCCTTCACACGAAAAAAGGGTTGGGAAAAGCAACAGTATGTTTTTATATTCATAACTGGGATAGGAAAAAGGTAGAGACTTGGCATACAGAGGATGGAACGTTAGGTTGAACAAAGTTAAAAACACTTGATTTGAAGAAACTAAAAGCCAAATCAAGCATAGAACTCTTACTAACTTCAACATAATCAGCAAAATAAAGGATAATTAGCAGAAGGAGAAAAGGTTACCCCAGTGAGTATCAAATTGAGGCTTTCTTCGCCGCTCATTATGGCCTGCAAGGCGTTTGCGACAGCTGCGTTTACCTTCATCAAATTCTGCCAATAAGTGAAACCTGCATTTTTAAAAGGTTACTGCAATTCTATGCTGGACTGACAGTCAGAATAGTCATGCCAAATCGTAAAAACTAAAGTATGACACTCAGATTCAATGCATAAAAATCAGCAAAAATTCTGCCAGAGTAAACGCCAATGCGGATCACTTTTTGTTAACACCGAGAACAGTTCTCTACTTTAAGGATGATACACTGAAGAATGAATCCGGAGGATGGTCAATTAGCAGGTTATGATAAGTAACTCTACAAATGACAAAGAGGAACTTCTATATTTCCTAACTTTCTGGAGGTTTTGGCAGATCATTCAAACTGAAGTTTACAGAAACAGTAAGGTATTAAATCAAGTGGAAACTATGAGGAGCTAATAGTGTTTTTTCACACTGGTGTCAAAATAAGTTCTTTAAGATCTCAGATGCTAAAACTTCATCTTCTTTTTATAGCTATGAGAGTACTCATTTTAAGGCAGTTCAGTTTATGTCTTTGTCCATAAACATTACATCCACAAGATCTACCCCATGGTTTAGTTGCGTAAGCCTCGTCAAAAAAATGACTTCAATACAATAGCTGGTTTTCCCAGATCAAGTGCAACACCAATAATAAAGACAACAACAACAACAACAACAACCACCCAGTGGAATCCTACAAGTGGGGTCTGGGGAGGGTAATGTGTACGCATACCTTACCCATACCCTGGGGAGGTAGAGATGCTGTTTCCGAAAGACCCTCGGCTCGAGAGGAAGAACAGAAACAATTAAATATCAACAACAAGGCCAGGAAAATGTACCAACAATGTATGAACCGGAAAAAACAGATGGAAGAAAGCAATAGCAATAGCAGTAGCAATAGCAACGAGCAGTAACAACGACAAGGACCATTAATAAAGACACATTAACAAAATTTCTGTGTGTGTGTGTTATATGTTAACACACACGCACACACATTCAATTCTGTTTGCTAGTCAGAAACAAAGAGTGCAACCTAGATTACATGAAAAAAGGAGCAAACATGAGCTAGACCATACCTGCTACACTGCTGACAGAACCTTTGCTCAATGCCATTAACGATAACTATAGCAGTTTTTGAGTGTTCATCACATACTTTGTGTCTTTTGTGATAGTCTTTTGACGAGCTCAGGTCCTTGTTACAACCATGAACCTGGCAGAAAGGAACCTCAGAATGCAAATTTGTAGTCCGTAGTCTTTTTCCCTGCAGTGATGAATTGACTGACGACAAAGCCGAGTTTCTCTTTAAGGATTGATTACTCTTGACTTCCCTATATGCAATCGACTCGTCCTCCTTCTGACCACGAACCTGAGAGATAGGAAACTGAGAATGCAAACTCTTTCTTTTGGCCGCTTCACCAGTTGGCAATGAAGATTCTGGTGAAGAAAGAACCGAACTTTCTTTCGAGGATTGACTAGTTCTTACTTCTCCATAATCAGTCAACTCGTCCAATTTCAAACCAATTGGTAATGACATCGGATTACAAGATTTAGTAGCACTACGGTTAAACATGGCTCCAAGTTCCAACATAGAACCATTACCTATTTCACCACTTAAAGCTCCCGGGCACGGGTTACTGGCTGCTGATTTCTTAAAAATATCAGCAATACCGGATTCCAAGAACCCCGTGCTTTCAGTTATTTCTTGGCTAGGGCCACAAATGGGTTTATCAACATCACAAAAAGGGTTCAAATTCCAATCCTTTACAGTATTTCTACTTCTTGAAAATGTGTCAACAGACAGTTCAACATTATCAGGAAACAGAAAACCTCTCCCTTCCAAACCATAGCTCAAAGGTTCCATCAGTGTAAGAAACAAAAGCTTCTCAAATTATACGAAGTGCAAACACTTACAAAATTGGTGCTTCAAATTTATAAACTTCACAGTTAATTCTTCACCTCTAGCCAAATCCAACTGAATTTCTGAATATGCAAAATACAAAGTGACAGAAACACATCAGTATGAATTAAAGTTCCAATCTTTAAATTCAAACTTTAGATATAAACATGAAATATACTACTGTAACTTTTTACAAGACAACACAAGCAAAACAAATTGCCCCCACTATTATATAGAACCAGAAAATTAAACTAAAATTAGCAAGAATGATACTAAAGTCAAACCAAGATCACCCAATTAACAAAATCACAAGTTTAATTAACTATCAGACTTTACAAATCAGGAAACAAGCAATAGACCAAATCAGAACCTTACTCTTAGAGTATCAAACAACAAACAAGAAAAATACCCAGTTGAGAAAATCATAAGATAAGATAAATTTAATCATCTTTAATGTAAAAAGATTGAAACTTTACATCAAACTTACCAAGAAAAAGAGTGGAAAAGGAAAGAACTGGGAACTGGTGCTTTGGTGGTGTGCCACTTTTTTTTCTTGGAAAGAAGCACTAGTAAGCCAGATACATTTATTAAAGAGAACACAATTTCCACTCCCGACATTTTGAGGGGAAAAAAAAAAAAGGAAAAAGGAAAGAAAAAAGGCAACTTCAAGGTCTTTCGTACTTTTCATGGGTGCTTAACGAGAAATCTAGCGTTTGGACATAGATTTAGTTAAAACTTGAAAAAATAATTTTTGAAGTAGCTTTGAAAAATAATTTTTGGAAGTTAAAATTATGTTTGGATGTGCATTTTATTTGAAAAAAATTTGAAGTTTTGTGAGTGGGAGAACAAGTTTCACCCAAAATATACGTTAAACTAGATTTTGGGAACTTGAAAAACAATTTCAGAAATTTTTCAAAAATAGATCATTAATCTATGAACAAACAACATTTTCAAAAAAGATTTGAAAAATGGTGCCAAAATGTATGGCCAAACGGGGCCTTAGAGCCTGTTTGGAAAGCCATCAGGTAATTGGAATTGGTGTAATTAGTAGGATAGTAATTACACAGTTGTGTAATTACGCCGACCTGTTTGTTTGTCATAATGTAATTACAAGTTTATTGTTTGGTTGCACAAGTGTAATTACACAGTTAAATTAAATTTTAAATGAAGTGATTAATAAAACTTAAAAGTTAATATAATAAATATATGCCTATAAATTTTTATAAGTATAAATGATACTATATTTGGTATTTAAGATGTATATTTTTTCGCGAATATACATTAATTAATAATCATATATTTATAAATGATGACTTACAAAAACTAAAAAATATATGTTTTGTAAGAACATCATGGAATTCATGTTTGATAAAATAAATTAATATTTATAAATATAATGTCATAACATTATTCAAATGTTTGACAAAACTAATCTATCAATTCTAACTAAAAAATAAACAACATGCAATGTGAGCCAATACTACTAAAACAAGTAAATTGGAACCATGAATATAACACAATTTTAAATCCAAAAAAAAAAATAGTTTAACATATGTCAAATTCCAACATAATAATAGTAAGTTCCACTACAACTTAAGATTAGGAAACATAATAAGTTTATAACCACATTCAACAACGAAATTTTCACTTGCATCACTCATTATATGCCATGTTTGTTAATTACTCATTATTTCTAATATTAGGAGGTGTAGTTTCAAAAAATAGAATAATAAAATAAATAAAAATAAAATATAAGCAATTACATGGAATCACAAGAAGTAAATGTAGAGAAATAAAAGATAGACAATGCACAAAGAAAAATATTTTAAAATTTCAAAAAAAAAGAAGTAAAAATAAAATTAAAAAATTATAAAAAATAGCAATAAAAAGTTACAAAGAAAATAAATTAAAATAAAACAAAAAGGAAAGAAACTAAAAAAGCAACTTTGTAATTATACAGTGTAATTACCACCAATTCTCACCTCCTCCTTGAGAATTGGAGAGTGTAATTAAACCTCTCTAATTACACTCAGTTCCATGCTGACCAAGTAATTGCTTGGCAAAACAAACATGCCAAACTATGTAATCACACTCAATTACATCCAAATCCAATTCGTAGTTGGTTTTCCAAACATGCTCTTAAAGTTAATGAATTTTAAATTTGTCATCAAATTTATAATGTATTTTAGAGCCCGTCTGGTCATAAAAAATTGATTATGTTTTCGAAAATTTTTTTTATTTCTTTTCAAATCAGTATTTAGCAATGAAAATTCAAAATTTCACTTAAAGTTAAATTTCAAAATTTTAAAAACTCCAAAAAACTACTTTGCAAAATTTTCACTTCAGTCACTCACAAAAATTCAAAACAACTTTCAATTTATATTCATGTCCAAACACAACTCTAATTTTCAAATACCATTTTCAACTTGAATTTTTTTCCACATTTTTTCCAAAATTTCACAGTTCTTATGTCCAAACGACCAGTCAATTAATAAATTAATAATCAAAACTCTATATATATTTATATAAGCTCTAAGCAAAATTTATTGGGTTCCTCCGAACCCATAACTAACAATATAGCTTTGTCCCCACCTCTGTGCGTGAGAGAGAGAGAGAGGGAGGGAGGGAGGGAGAGAGAGCATTTCTTTTAAAAAATACAGTAAAATCAAAATCCAAAAGCATGTGTTTCCATTTTTAGGTGATATTGAAGATTAAATTATAAGGAGCAAAGGGGCTAAAGTATAAATTATTACTAAATGTAGGTAGTTAGGTGTGTCTAATCACTACACTCTATAGAGTGTTGAAATTTGATGCTAACTGACCTTTACTATTGCCTTTACACTCAACCTTTCAATTATATGCCACGCTTATACTTTAGTCCAATTTAATATTAAGTAGAGACCTAATTATACATCAAAGTTGGACAGTCACGTAGGCTTGTATATTTTATTTCATTTTTCTATGTTACATTTCACTTTCTTTCTATAGGGTAATAGTTTTGATTTGCTGTTAGGATTTCAAGTTACTTGAAAAAGAAAGACATTTGATGATATTTCTAGATTGGCCACCTATTCTTGGGATTGGTTGAGTAGAAAAGAAATATATAGGAAGTTGTGTATTTCTTCTTTTGGCATAAATAGGGAGTAGTTGAAGAATATAGTACTTCTTTGAAATGTTAGTAAAAATGATTATCCATCCATCTGTCCCAAAATGGCTATTCCTTTTTAACTCTTGAGCAGGTAAAAATAGCATGGGCTAGCCAGTTTTCGGATTGGTCATTCAAAAATAGCCAGCGTTTGTGAAGTCATTGAAAAATAGTCACTATTTTGCTGCAACACGAAAAGTTACAGCATAATATACTGGATATCGGTGCACCTGTGTATGAACTTACTATTGGAGTTTACATTGGACAAAATAGTAATTTTATTATTTTTCTAATATTTAAGAATAGTTATTTAATTCATTCCCTAAAATTTAGGGAATACAACATATCTGTAAAAAAAATTGTACGCTTTATTAACATGTAAAAATCTTTGGATGGAACACTTTTTATATTTCTATAAACATTTTGGGCAAAACATTCGTTAAGTATATATATAATATATATATATATTATACTATATATATATATATATATATATAATATATAATATTATAATATATTATATATATATATATATATATATATATATATATAATATATACATATATATATATATAATATATTAGTGTTATAATCTATTACTTTCAGTCCTTTTACTTTAGGAGTTTTTTTAATATACGTTTGGCTAAAAAGTAAAGGAGGACGAGGGTGTGAATCAGAAAATGAAAAAAAATTTATGATATACCAAATTATTTCTCTTAGGTAAAATATATATAATTTATTTCTATTTATACTACAACGCCCAGAAATAGTAAATGTCGTTCGCCTTTTACCCTTAAAAAATAACTTTTACAATGGACAAATTTGTAACTTCGGTTAGTTTCCTAATGTTTAGAACTTTGAAATCAATTAAAATTTTACATATTAAATAGGTAGGAAGTACTAATATTAAGGAATTTAAAATCAATAAATATTTTACCGTAAGTAGATTGTACTAATTGGCAATACATCCTTTGTGCAATACGTACAAATTCATGTTCAATTAAGCACCCAAAATAATTTTTTAATATCATATTTATTTATAAAAAATTATGCAAGCCTAAATTTATATATAATATATATATATAATATATATAATATATATATATATATATATTATATAATATATTTATATATATACTATATTAAATGCACGAAGCCCCTTATCACGACCCTAGTTCGCCCTCCGTGAACTATCGGGACGGCACCTAGTCTCTACGACTAGGTAAGCCTAACAAATGCGGAAATGAAATAATTGCGGAAATGAAATAATTGCGGAAAGAAAATAATTAAAAACCGAGATAACAAAGTTAAACAATGTTTAAGATGCCGCCTGGCATATAACTGTACAAGAATCTCAATCTAACACTCCCTAAATAGGGAACCCCATGAATCACAAGCTAAAAGATTTCATAATAAGCTCTAACTCCAGAAATGTCTACCAACAAGGGAAAATACAGAAAGGCTATACTAGTGCTGAGAATAGAAAAGGACTCTTCGGTCTGCGGACGCGGCGGATATACCTGGGAGTCTCTACAAAGCGCCTCGCCTCAAGCGTGATAAGACTGAGTGGAAGTACCTGGATCTGCACATGAAAAACATGCGTAGGAAGGACATGAGTACACCACAGCGGTACTCAGTAAGTGCCAAGCCTAACCTTGGTCGGGTAGTGACGAGAAAAGTCAGGGCCCTACTGAGGTTAAATGAAATACAAGGTATAATAGTATAGAATAAGACAATATAGTTAAGTGCAACAGTAAGAAGTAACACATGATAGAAAGAACAACAGTTATAACAAAGACAAATAATCACGGAAAGGAATACAGATCACACAGAGATAACAACCGGGGGTCTCCCAGGATACCGTCTTGTAGTCCCAAATATAAATATCCAGTGTATCTCCCAGGGTACCGTCCCGTAGTCCAACTCATAGTGCGCGGGGATCTACCGGAATCCCGACCCGTAGTCCCAAATGTAAATACTCAGTACTGGGGAATCTACCCGGTGCAATCCCGTAGTTCCAATGTAAAAGTGCAGGGGGATCTCCCAGAATACAAATCCGTAGTCCCAAAGTAAACATACAGGGGGATCTCCCGGGATACCGTCCCGTAGTCCCAAAGTAAACACACAGCAACAACACAAAAAAAATACACAATTCAATACTAATCCCATACCAAGGTAAAGCGGGTATTTCTAGCCTAGCATGCTGCACATAATCCAAATAAGGCAGTTTGAGCAAGTAAAGCAATTAAGTCAATTAGACATCCTTCCCTAAGCTGACGACAGGCTTAAATTGCGAGTAGTATAAACAGGAAAAGAAACATAATTCTAAGTACTTAATGAAAATCGCATTTTTCAACAATTAGCAAAAGTACACACTCGTGACCTCACGTACAAGGCATTTTAAACATCAATAATACCAAATCCTAAGGGGAGTTTCCCCCACACAAG